CCACTGGAGGGTCAGCTATGGGTGGTTTGGACTCGATGGTTGGGTGCTCTAGTGGCTTAGTGCTAAGGACCTGCACCACAACCTTCAAGGCATGTGATTTTAATCTATCAGCTGCTTCACAAAAGAAGGATAGGCAATCTCCTCCCATGCGATTTCCTGTCTCTGAAATCCTGCTGGAGAGCCAGTCATGAGTTGGTTCCAACTGGACAACATGATACAAAACAACAACAACAAGGGTAAAAACACTGTGTTAAATGATCAAGAAAACAAAAGAGAATAAAACAGACTCCTGTTAGGAACAGTTGTAGGCTTAGTTGAGTCAACTATTATTTGTTTTGTTTTGTTTAATCATTCTTTACAATACTGAAAAACTTGTTAATATAAAGTAGACTTCTGCAATGGCAAGCAGGAATTCTGCTTGGGTGGTTTGGAGGGCTTTTTTTTCCATTTTAGATTATAAAGGTTTTACAAAAGTGCACAGAAGTTGTCAAGTCTCCTTTTTGCATTCTTAGAGGTCAGAGGCATAAATAGCAGCCTGGAGGGGACTCATTGGTATGCAGTTCTTCTTGGCCTAATCTTTGTTCTTGGAAAAAAAAATAGTGTTGGGTCATTTTCTAGTACCTGGGAAATATTTGAAACTCTTCATTACTTTTAACATTCAGTGTTGTTTTCCGTTCAGTTGGGTCTTGGTGGGAATGTTAAATCATAGGAATTTTGAATTTTCAAAATGAAATTATACCATCTCCCACTCTGTACCACAGTGGAGGGGGAAAAAAATCTCTTTAAAAGCCCACTTTTGGAATTAAAGACGTAAATTCCATTTAAATCTACAATTAGAGCAGTGGTGTTGAATGAAAATATGTGAGCTAATATTTTACATTTTCTAGAAGATACATTGTTGTTATGTGTAGTCAAGTCACCTGTGACTCATAGACCCTATGTACAACAGCCATAAACCCTGCTCTACACCTTGCCAATCTTATTGTCTCCGACATGCCTATCCCCATTACCCCAGTGACTGAATCAATGCATCTCATTGAGGGTCTTCCTCTCCTGAGCTGTCCCTCCACCCTCCCAAGCATGATGTCTTTCTAAGAGGTAAAAAAAAAAGTTGTGATGTATTTTAAGAATATATTTTGTTACTGAATATAAGCAAAATAATGTTTTAGCATGTAGTCAATAGAAAAATTCTCAGTGAGGTATTTGACATTCTTTTTCTCATAGTAGGTTTTTGTGTTGGGTGTGATTTTGCACCACTCCACATTTCTGTTTGGACTAGCCACATGTCAAGCACTCAATAGGTACACGTAGTCTGTGGGTATTCTATTGGACAACAAAGCTCTGAAGTGCTACTTCCATATATTTTTTCCTACGGTTAGTTCCATTGGAGGCTCAACCAATTAGTATTAAAGAAAACAAACTTAAAATACAATCTACATGTCAACTTTGGTTTTTAGAGCCCCTTTAGTACCTAATATACTGTATTTCTGCTACCTTTCAGGCAGGAAGAAAGTAAGTTATCATTTATTTGTATACTAGCTTGGGAAGGTAAAACTTCTTAAAATAACCAGGCCAGAGGATGAGAAGGAAGGTTCTAGGTGGGAAATAATATCCATAGAAATCATTCCTTACCCCACTCAAAGTGATATGACTTGTTTCAGTGTTCACCTTGTACGTTATGCAGATCTATGTTGAGCACATATGACTCATAAGAGACTGTAAATTCCATTACTATCAAATCTCTTTCTCCAGCAAGGAGCTCTGGTTACTTAAAGGATAGAGAGTTGCACTGTCAACACAAAGATGGGCAGTTCAAATCTACTAGCTATCCTAAGGGAGAAAGATGGGCAATCTCCACCTATGTGATTTACAGCCTTTGAAACACTGGAGGGTCAGCTATGAAATGGTTCCAGCTTAATGTCAATGCGTTTACTTGAGCTGTCTTTCTGAAGCACTTAAAATAATGCCTGGAATATGTCATTCCCAATTCTGAACCATTCAGTGTTTCTTGCTCTGTTCTGACAGCTGCCTCCTTGTCCAGGTGTGGGTTTCACATGGGCACAATCGAGTGTTCTGGGATTCCCATTCTTCATAGAGTTAGCCCCAGTTTGTTGTGGTCCACACAGTCAAATGAGTTTGCATACTCACTGAAACACAGACATTTCTCTCGTACTCCCTGCTTTCAGCCAAGATTCATCTAAAATCCCAAGTACCATGGCCTTTTCTAAACCCAGCTGCACTTCAGACAGTTCTCTGTTGATTTGCTATTCCAGTTGTTGTTTTTGGATAGTTTTCAGCCTAATTTTGCTTGCATGTGATATCAATGATACTGTTCATTAATTTACACACTGTCAGATCACCTTTCTCTTCTCAAAAAAAATGCCTGGATCATCACTGGTACTCAATAAATGTTTCTTGAACAAATAAACACATTTAGATAAATTCAGTTTTGCATTCTCATCAGACATACTTCAAGTATTCAATAACTATATGTGGCTAGTGGCTGTCGTATTGAACAGCACAAATAAAGAACATTTATATCATTGAAGAGAGGTCTATTAAGATAGCACTGTGAGGGCTAAGGTGCATCTGATTCAGGCCATGGTCTTTTTGATTACTTGCTATGCATCAGAGACCTGGACAATGAATAAGGATGACAGAAAAAGAATTGACACCTTTGAGCTGTGGTGTTGGAGAAGAGCACTGAACATCCCACAGATGGCCAAGAGAATGAACAGACATGTCTTGGAGTGGGTACAACCAGAGTTATCTTTGGAGGCAAGAATGATGAGGCTTTGCCTCACATACTTTGGGCATGTTTCTAGGAGGGGCTATTCCTTGGAGAAGGACATGATGCTGGGAAGGATGGAGGGTCAGCAAAGAAGAGGAAGACCCTCAACCAGGTAGATTGACATGGTGACTGCTGCCAGAAAGTGAGATGATGGCACAGGAAAGGACTGAGTTCAAAGCTTTAGTTCACAGGGTCACTATGAATCATGCTTGACTCGACGACACCTAACAACAACAACGACAACAGAGCAATGGGACGAAATAATACTGGACCTGTTATGTGACAGGAAACCCCTAAAGAACTATCAGAACCAGAGTGACCACAAAATTTCTTTTGTGTGTGTGTGATCAAGTGATAACCCTAGTGATATAACAAAGAAAGTAGAAAATAAAAATGTAGCTCCATGATGATTTCTACTAGTATCAACTTTGTCACATATTTCTCCTTGAGTTTTTGCCTTTCTCTCAAGGTACTTCCAACCCTGATTTCCACTAGCACAGCCCCCATGAGTGCTCTCCTTACCATCTAGACCAATTATGTAGTAAATGTTTCCCCTTGTATCCATGGTTAAACAGATATGCTTTTCTTTATATCCAGGGATATATTAACAATTATATAAATACCACGTGCTAACCAGTTGTGCCAGTGGAGCGATATATTAGCAATTATAAAGAAACTTTAATACAAAAGCTAAGAGGAAAGAAACAAAGAAATGTAAAAA